TGCGGATTTTACTTTCCTGGTAAGTAACAAGTAAAATTTTCTTTTAGTCTTAACCATTAGTAAAATATTATTTTCAAAGATTTTACTTGAGTATTACATTTCTGGCAAGTCAAAAGTAAAATTGTCTTAAAGTCTCAATACTTAGTAAAAAAAATTTTCTTCACGAATTTTACTTAATTATATTTACTTGTGAGTAAAACATTGTATCTCCCTGAGACCATAAATGATAATGGAATAGCTCTTTACAAAAACTTTACTTGAGCATACATTTTCATAACGCTAGCAATGAAAATTGTTTATAGAACCAGGCGCTAATTGAATGGTATATTTGTTCTTTCTTTAAGGTTTACATGTCAGGCTGACTTCTTAGAACATTTAGTTTATTAGTTATAGGACAACCTTACTTAATTAAGTGGAAAACCACTATTGGAAAAAGATTAACTGAATCAAGAATTAATTTTTTTCCTATTGGATGAATAAGTGTTCCGTCAGGTGGCGCATTATAGTTACACTGAAAGTTGTGTACTACATTAAGCAAACTTCTTAATGAATTGATGATTTATGGTTAGTTTTGATTAATACTCAGTATATCCAGAATGTATACAGAGAAAGGATTAAGTGACATAATAGATGAATTATGAACTTCAGTATCAAACTGAGACCCCTATATGGTCCAATATAGTTTTAGACAATAATGATGAAGCACCTGCTGGTGACCATGCTAATCTATAGCAAGAAAAGCATTAAGAAATTCACACCACAGAGAAAATTGGACTCGTATTAAAGATTTTATCGAAACGTAAACATGCGTAAACACTGGATTTGTTACTGTATTGCATTTTACTTCACTATATGCTCAATAAATCCATTTTTATCGTGAAAAGTTTTACTTCGAATTTCAATTACAAAAATAAATCCATCATGGTATTTCACAAGTCTACAACTGCTATGCGAATGATGATGTCACAACTTTTAAATTATGTAGCAAACGTGCTGTTACTAAATCTCTTTATGATTTATACTTTTAAAATAGCAAACAAATGTGAAGGTGAATAACGAGTACTTGTCGCGGTAGCTGCCAACAATAGGTATAATTAAGTTTTATACACAGTTTATGCTTCCGTTCCTTTTAGTTGTTGCTTATTCAAGCAGAACTGGTTAATTGAAGTGTAAAGGAAATCTACATGAACAGTTTCCATGCTTCAATTGATTAACTTTTTGTTATCTGAAGTCAATCAATGTAGGTAAGCAAAGAGATAAATCTTCTTATTTTGGCTTTAAGACGAAATTGATTTTCAAAAAAAAAAAGAACTGGGAAAATCGCAAACATCATTTGATACCGAAGTGCAGAGAAAGACGATGCTCTTTAGATTGCTTTATTGCGATTGAGGGGTAATAAGTTGTTAAATTTGAGAAATTGGACGCATAACTACTCTAGACTACCTAATGAACTTGGGAAAATATTGGAAAAATGTTATTTACGGATTAATATACATTTTGTTATCAGCCAGAAAACATGTTTTCCCCTTTAGATCAATCTCTTTCCACATTTTCATCCAAGTTTGATTTCACCGGAAAAGTTCAATTTACAAGGAATTGTTTTGCTTTTATTTCCATAAAATGGATTCACATGCGTTAAATTATTGTGTAACGTAAGAAGTTTTATGAGAGGGCACATCTGTATATACATAAAAAAATAGAATAAGGAAGAACTGAAATTTCCACACAAGGGATTTTCCCGTACGTCGTCGTATGTATTTTCTAAAATTAATTGTATTTGTTTTCCGTATACACATTACTTTCAGATTAAGATATATTTACACATATATATATATCATGTAAAATATACTTTATTTATAGATATAAAGCATTAATCTAAAGCCCTTTTACCTTTATATAATGGGGAACAAATTACATCTGTTTATCTATCTACAATTGCTCTGATATAATTCCTGTAGTTACAACATTAATTGATATATCTTTCGAGAGTATTTTTCCATACATCCGTCATTAAGAGCCAGGTTTCAAAAATTTGTTCTGCTTCAGTGAACGGTAGCGGTTTTAAAAAAAAAACAGTGTTCAGCGTCTAGCCCATCCTCAGTAGTATCGTTTTCAAACCGCCATGTTATAGGCCTAGCTATCTATCTGTAGAACGGATACAATTTTCTTGTGTGAATAAATTAAAGCACGAACATTTGAATAATAAAAATGTTAACCCAAAACATCTTGGGAGTTATGGCTCTTAACATCCAATTGCCAAGTTTGACTAACATGAACGCAATTTATTTCATTATTCTTTACACACAGTTCTATAAAAAGCGCGAATTTTATGTTAATATGTAATTATCAATTATGTAATATTATAAGACTTTTGCAGAAATAACAGATGGGAACAATTCACTGGGAATTTTAATTGTTTTATCGTGAAAGCTATCTATCATTAAAACCAAACTATAAATATTAAAGTTCATAAAATTATATATTATTATTTAATACAGTAATTCACGCTAAATGAAAAGAATGCCAATCTACAAATGACAGCAAATATGATGCTTAATGCAGTGTTAGTTTTATTGCTCTGGGATCTATGCATACCTCACATGCTATACGCGTTGTCGCTGTGAATCAACAAAATACTTCTTGACAAATACAAATACAAAATTAGGCGATGTCAAACTTTTCATAGCCTCTCCTCCCTAAAAAAAAAAACCCACTTAGCATTAATCGTTACTTTATGTGTATCTTTATTTCCACCTCTGTTGTAATGCAGCATCACAACTATTCAAAATATATGTTGACACCCTAAAAGAAATGAATATATATATATATGCATTTTAACATACTAACATAAAATACCCGAACTCCGATGCAGGGTTCAAAGGCCGCCTCGTGATTCACAGAGGCCCAAATGTGCTAATCAAGCTCCTCTATTATTCCCAATTATTTCTTTCAATACCACAAGGGAGGTCAGTACCATTAAACAAACCCCTTGGAAACCTAAGCTCAAGTGCCATCTTGGTCCCACTAATTTGTAAGTGGGGGGTATGAACACAGTTTCAAACATGGCGCTCCCGTGCTCTCGAATAGGGTTAAAACACAAACTGCGATGCCAGATCCGGGTTCAGCAACCATTGAAACCTATTCTAATACCCAAATCATGCCTGGGTGACCTTCCAAGGGCGTATTAGTCCATCTTGATATGGGGGTACGGGCCATCACGAGTCCGCCTGCCAAGTTTGATCCTGCTAGCTCAAGAACTAAGGAAGGGGTTAAAGTGACATACATGCATGCAAAGCAACAAGCTGAATAAGCATAGAAAGGATTATGGTCAAATAGAATGGGGTAGGAAAAGGACGATTTTTATTTCTCCTTAGTTGGAAATTGCATCATCGAAGGAGCTGCTGGACTCAAAGTTTGAGTGTCCTCCAAATCTATATTAGAAAGTGGTGACAGTTTCATTCAAGACAGTGAAGCGTCTGAGATTTTAGTTTAATCTATCTTCTCAAAGTTTCCAGTGCATGAATATCAATATTCATAAAATCATGTTTTATACTTCTGTTTTTTTCATGATAATTATGTCAATATCATTGAGAGGATGTTACAGATATAATTATAGAAATGCTAAATATAATTCTTATATAATTCAAGTTTAGCTCTAGATTATTTTGTATAAATACTCCAAAAAAAAGCGTTGATACATAATTAACAAATAATGTGATTACCAAAACGCTGTACTGGTGATACAGTGTGATCTATTTATAATAGAACAGTGAATGAACGTGTCAGAAAGTTCTTATCTAAGTATCGTGAGGAGCGCTCAATACTTTCAATAGCTTATTATTATTTACCAAACACTTCTTAGAAGTATACCTTCTCTCATCAAAAGGTCCTAAGGAGCTCGGCTAAAGGGCTTCTTGTATTGTGATTAAAATTTTTTTTGTTATGCTTCGTTAATTTTAACACCATTAACATTATTAAAATGTTTCCATTAATTGTATGTATGTATGTTTGTTTGTTTGTAATTAAGCACAAAGCTACGCAATGGGCTATCTGTGCTCTGCTCTCCACGGGTATCGAAACCCGGTTTTAGCGTTGTAAGTCAGCAGACATGCCGCTGTACCACTGGGGGACAGATTGTACGAATTCACCCAGTAGATACTGGTCGGTTGTAAGCTCTACTGTTATGAGGTAACGTGTGAGAATATATCTTGTGATTTATTAGTTGAATTATTTAATAGAAGCGTTTCCTTCCAAACGAACGATGAATAGTAAAATAATCAGCATTTATACCCTGTTTGCTGTGCCTCAAATCACCGTGTGTAATAGTTACAATAGATGAGTAGTATGAAATATACAAGTTTGTATTGAACCACATTTCATCACCTAAACTGAAGGATTTTATATTTTTGCTTGCGAATACTCTCACTAATTCTTTCCACTGTAGTAATTTTACATCCTAATCTTGCAAGAATAATCTATACCCTAAGTATTTAAACTCTGCATTTCCTGGCATCTAGTTAAGTTTCTCCACAATTAGCACACACACACATACATAAAAAAAAACTGAACAATGATCCGATCGTAGAAGTAATTATATTTACTTGAGTAAACAATAAAATAGATTGTTCATTATTATCTAGTTTGTCTTTATGGTGCCTTTGCTTTTATTTGTTCTTGCATGTTTACGCTCATGAACTTAATGATCACTGTGGCAGAGAGAGAGCGTATTCTGCAAGCACGCAAATGTTTGAATCGATATTACAATCGAATGTTGGTTCCAGGTACTGAATTAATAAAAGCAAAAATTTTGGAGAACACAGACGCAAGAGGAGGCGATAGTTTGTTAGTGTTAAGGCTCTTTATATTTGCATTCTTGATCATAGATTCATTAGTCAGGTTTTTTATGTTATAGTATTGACATGGCTCAAATGATAGTTAATCTTAATCATTTTAGATTAATCGAAACTAATACTTTATTATTATTATTATCGGAAACTCACCTTGAAGCGTCAATGAAATATATAACTAAAGAGGATATACTGAGACAAAACACCAGCACCACCTGGGGAAAGATAAAATAAAAACAGTTTAGTTAAAAACGTACGTACAAAATGTAATATAAATAAAACGTATACCAAACAATTTGCTTATATTAATAAATATTCAAAAATAACAGAAATATTTGAGCACCCCATACTACCTTAGATATTCTGAAGGTAATGATGTTCTTGTATAATTATTGCAATTATAGTAAGAATGACTTGTTGATTACTTGAGTGAAAAAAAAAAGTGATTAGTTTTGCGTTCTAGTACTGTATAATACTTTAATTAATCAAGCTGATCAGATCATGGTCGACATCTGAAAAAAAAAGAAACAAATTATACTTTCGAATCGTAAGTTTATATGAAGGTATTATTAAACCTAGTACTTTTTGGCGCTAAACGTCAGACCAAGAAACAGGAAAGCAACGTTATCAGGCAGTAAAAAAGCTCATTTTGATATATACATCAGTTGATATATTATGAATGCATAATTGCTTTGGCAAATGCAGAAAGAATGGATTCGTGTGTTGCTAGAGTCAAGATATAATAGAGCTAACACTGTACATGATTATAGTTTCCAGGAAGCACGTATACGGAGTTTAGAATTCTTTCAATTTTTCATGAACTGAAAATGAATTTGTTTTTGCAGAATAATAAATATGTCTTATCGTTTATAACACAAATTATAGGGAGATTAGGGTTACGTATTAAGCCTATTACCACTGATCACTTGTTTTCATCGTGGTAAGGTCTATGGACTGAAAATATTTTACATAATGGCGGCCACATAGGCCCTCCTACCTTTAGTGAAAACATGGTATCAGAAAAATAACAAACAGTTTTCGTACGCCATTTTTTGTAACACTCTTACTAAAAATTATTGAATTACAAAAGAAAGGCAGAACAGATATTTCTCTCCTGAGCAAATCTCTACGGTAAACATGGCGCAGTTACTACATACTGGAAGGGTTGAAATAATTTATTGTACAATATTTAAATTCCACTAGGTATATATAAAAATATTTAAAGGAATTCAAATCTAAACACACACAAGAAAATAACTAAACTGCATTGAAATATTCTTCAGTATTCACAGTTTGAGGTGCTCTATTATTCTTAAACCTGGATTAATGCGGATATGACATTTTAATTAGCAAATGATAAATCATATTCATTAACGCAGCATGGAAACTATTCAGAAATGAAAAAGTAAATTATTGTCGACACAAAATGTTTCAAACAATCATTAAACAACTACTAGAGAATCTAATAAGTTTAAAACAGGTGATTATTTATTGATCTTAATGATCCCTGATAGAACAGCGGTAAGTTGACGGATTTATAATGATAAAATCCGGGGTTTGATTCCACGTGATAGATACAACAGATAGCTCGATGTGGCTTTGCTCTAAAAAAATAGATATTTTGTACTCAAGGTACACTATATTTGAAAAGCAGTTACTCGTTTTGATCAACGCATTTCTTGTCAAACCGTTTGTTTTCACGTTCGTAAAGTAAGCTATTGATTAATATCTCTGTACTATGTTATTTTCCGAGTAACTGGGCAGAAGCTATATCGATTCCCTCCCTCAGGAAATACCAGAACAATAAGAATGATTTCTCTGTCTTTCAGTGTAATCAGTCTTTATAGATCGGATGAAGTTCCGTGAAAAGGGATGCTTGAAATGAAAAGGTGCCTTAGCTCCAGGATCTCTAGAGAAACGTGCCTTTTTCCTAGCATACTTGCTATTTGGATCGCTACTAAAAAAAATAAAAAATAATCTTTATTGACGCAAGAATTTGGCCAGCTGTACTTTATGGCAACAGACGTCAGCATCTTATATGCTGACAATATGGTTCAGAGATTTTTAATCATTATATTGGACAAAACTAACTGTCTTTATTCAGGAAAATAAAAACATAATAAACCGGTTCGAAAAAGAGTTTTGAAGACAACCCACGGTCTTGTTGGTCAATTTTTAAACACTAATAAAAGCCCCAAAGTAATTTACAGAGGAAACGATGAGGTAAAAGTTTCATGGCTTTTTCAAAACTGTAAATGCTCATTTGAGAAAAAACTTATTTCAATACACACATCAGTTGAGAAATCATGGTTACGTAGTTACGCTGGTAAGTACAGAACTTAGTGGTTCGAGCTTTGTTAGCGATAAAATATAATGGAGATCACACTGTACATATTAATGTTTTTCGAATGGCATGTGTTTGGAGTTTAGGACTCTTTCAATGAATTGTTTTTCGCAGAATAATAAATATTTCCTATTGTTTATGCTTCAAGTTGTAGTAGGCTAGAAATTTTCTATGACTTAAGGAAAACCTAATATTTTGTTCGTCAATTTTTAAATATTGATAGAAGCCGAAAAGAAAACGACGAGGTGGGCGTTTGGCGACTTGTCAAATCTATAAAAAATTTTCTTTCTGTTTAACAACATCAGTAAAACCATCTTTCAGGCTTGTTTGTTGTCAACCAAAAGCTACACAATGGGCTATCTGTGCTCTGCCCATTGCAGGTATCGAAACCTGATTTTTAGCGTCATAAGCATCAGATTTATCGCTGAGCCATCGATGGGCATAATATCTACGAGAACATAATCTGTATTGCTTCAACATATACCACAGTGAGCCCCCTGGTGGCTCAGCGGCAATTCTTACAGCTTAAATTGCCAAGAATCGGTAATGATCGTGGGCACAGCACAGATTGCCGTTCCATTATGTAGCTTTGTGCTTAAAAAGAAATAAATAAACAAACAAATGCCACAGAGAAATTTTAATCTATTATTATCAGTAAGTCATGAATTCCATTTCCAATATGATGTATTTTTAATGTATTTTTATAATTATTGCTTTTTCACTTTTTCACATATAATCTTTGAATTTGTTTTCTTAAATATTTGAGAATATACACGTTACTTGCAAGAAAGCCTGTGTGTGTTATTCGCAAAAAGATTGTAATTTGGGATTACAGAAGGTTGAGTACATTATATTGAAATTATTTCAAATATGTAAATCAACAAGTCAAGTGATAACCACAGCCAAAATAAAGTTACGGTGGAAAGGCATGTATGGGAATGCCATTTTACATTGTTTGGCATTATGTAGGTAGTGTGAAGCCATCAAAAATTGATCGATTTTGGGAACAGTAGGTAACAGCTCTTTTCAATGCCAAATACTCTCACATTTAGATAGTAAAAAGTGTTCAGATCAAATATTTAGAGTTTACAAGATGGGGCCTCCCTTGAGCTTAATGGCATTGGAAAAAACGATTATGTATCAACTTGGGATACCAGGACCATCAGTTAATAGCCCTACAACAAATTGTACTCCAGCCGTGATAAAAGAAAAGTGCGGCGTCTTGCAATAGTTGATAATCCACTAACACAAAAGTCAGTGGCAAAAGCCGTCAACGAGTCATAATCAAAAAGGATCTCTGCCTGGAAAAGCGACACAAATCACGTGTACACAGGTTGCTTCAACTACATATTCGTTAAACCGTTGCATGCCTCAAGCAGCTAGAAAATGAAACAGGTATTCATGTTATTCCATATAAAACATGCTAGTAAAGTTGCCGGATACAACCCCTGTGTATTTTTGTGCAATAGGACTGTTGAAAAGGGTGAGGGAAGACTGTCCTCTTCGTACATTCCGGTTAGATTATGGAAAGCCTGCGGGAAGGAAGGAATGATTAGCTTTGGTATGACACTCTAACAATGGAGTCTTTTGCAATAGAAAATACGCTACAGGGCTATTGTCAAGATGCACGGACGTAATAATAATAATAAAAAAACATCTCCGGGCGTGGCAATATGGATTGTAACGACATGGTTAGTCTCTAAAATCGTTTTAATATAACGTAATCAACTTCTGTATTAATTAGTTTCTTATAAACCGATTATATTGTTGGAACTTAACTCTCTTATTGTTTCAGGAACATATAATAAGGATGTGATGCGACAAAAAAAAGTGCAATATATTAGCAAGTGGAAATGTGGAAAAAAAAGACGTACAGGATGAATTACCTTAGATTTTGTTGTTATAACTTTTTGGCGAATGCAATAGTAATTTGCTGACAACTATTATTTTGAAACATATAATTCCTTCACGCTAACTACGTACCAAGAACAATGCCATAGAAAAGTAACTTCAGGTGAAACAAAACAGTTTATTATTCATAAAACCGGTGGTGCATTCGGGTAGTGCTAGGTTTTCATTTGAAGCCTTTTAATGTAATTGCGCCGTAAAATATATTGAATTGTTATTCTAATATCATAGTATTTTGTTTCTCTTAACATAGGATGAGAAATTAATATATCTAATTTCAGCCATCTATATTATTGTAGAAGTATGCTTCACACTTGGAGTATCAAGTTATATAATTTTTACCATTTCGGGAGTTGAAACAAAATCAAAAATCAAATGAACCTGATAATAGAATTATATTAACTCCCTTTTGGGATACAAGATCTATAGATAATGAGTAGAGAAGAAAAATAACGAGCCATAAAGGTCAATATAATAAGAACAGCTAATGAGAACACATAAATAAAAATAAGTTCTTGTTTTTGACGCTTAGATAAGATAATATGGTATATCTTCATTAGTGTTAAGGTCACTGAACCGTCAGGATCGTCTTGTATGGTTTTATAAACTCTGAAACTCATTTTACTTTGGCATAATCTATTTTGTATATCAAAATTGAATTTTATCTCAGAAATATGAATAACTAATTTATAGATATCTTTTGGCAATAGTTCTTTCAATTAAGCCCCCGTGGCACAGAGGTAAGTCTGAAGACTTTACAACGCTAAAACCTGGTTTCGATACCCGCGGTGGGCACAGTACAGATAGTCCCTTGTGTAGTATTGCGCTTAACAACAAACAAACTTTCAACTAAAAGTAAAGACTGTTTGAAAATAATGTTAAAATAATTAATTGCTAACAACTTTAGTCTAGTTGTATAGCTTTACACGAAAGTCTACAGCAGTGAAGTTCTTAAACAAATTT